GAAATGGCACGCGAACTCCGTGTACGATGCCATGTACGTCCGCCTTGACCGACTGAATTGCCACGACTGCGAAAAGAATCACGTTAGGATACTGCGTCGAACGCTGAAGCTCTGCACTGAAGTACTGAAGTACTCACTTGGAGCAAAGCTTATTCCCAGTTTCACTGATGTTCCTTTCTTCAGCTCGCACAACTTCGGGTTCAAGCACGGTTCAATGGAGAGCGCATATAAATGCGCTATCTTATTCGTCTGGTCATCTAGAACGAAAAGGTGCCAACAAGTAAAATGGAGCTACTTGTGAATAAGCATCAGGACCGAAATTATGAGCAATAACTGTCTCACGAAAATTTGATCATTACGTAGGTGGGCACAATGCAAAGCAAACAAATTCTGTGACGTTTGTGCATTTCTAGCATCCTCCCCTTGCAAGAAAATCCTGCAGCCACCCTTGCACATGGAAGCCAAAGCAAACGAACAGTTTTACTGTCGATTATATTTAATCGTTTTAGATCCCTTCATCAAAGTCGCCCATAATGCACTCTGCGAGGAGCTTTGTTTACCTTATGAACTTTGTTTATCTATTCATGAAGTATCAATAAGTGCCATAAATGCGACGACCTCACATCTCTTCGGAATTATGTGATAAACGGAACATCAATGGTTTCATAAACCGTAATTTATGTGCTCAGTATTCGCTTGCAGCGGTACTATTATTAGGAGCTATGATACTTTGCTTGTCCTTCTTGCCCAGAAACCTGTGAAGTTTCCATCCAAATGCGTCGGGCACCATTTGCAAGAAAACAGCACCATCAGATAGTAACGGCAGTGAGTTATGTTTTTCTCTACTAACGGTTATGTAAGTCAAATATGGTTGCTATCGATGGCTTACCACAGTCTTTGAAGTCGACGTTGGTAGCGCTGCTGACAGCACTGCACAGCCATAGCATAAGCAGATAAGCGGAAAGCGCCAGCATGGCTCAACTTGAAACCTGGAACAGTCAACATTTACTCGGTACCTGCCTGAGTATCATTCACATTCGGAAAACACGTGCGACCATTACGCCCCAAGATCAACGTAATCATCGAAAGCCTCATTCAATTTTTATTCATTAATCAACGCACAAACAAAAGAGAGTCAGTAGTCAGCAGTCAGCAGCCTTTTGACCTCTCTTCTCGACGCTTTTCGCAGTTCCTCCTCATTTGGGCGTCGGAGCCAGTACCTGCAACCGCAGGATCATGCACAAGTCCCCGTTCTTTGACCTGTCTTCACTGCGAAGCACCTGGGCATCCTTCGACGGTTGTCTGCCGTTGGCATACAGCTGCCAGATCGACGTTCCGCTGATCTGAAAATAAAAGTTTCAGATGCATGACGCGGACAATATTTTGTTTTTGGTTAGTTGGTATGTTTTATAGTTTAATTCGTTATAGTGTGCCATCGCCACTAGTTTATTATACGCAACCCGCGACTTACGCTTCGCAATACCTCTTGAAAGCACACAGCAGATAAATCGATATCAAACGTGGAATGTATCATTTGATTTTCAATACGTGTTGCAGCATTGGTAAGAAGTTCTGAGCAAGCAGAACAACGAATTATTTGTCAGAGTACTTCTCATCAAAAAATGTCATGGGGGGGGGAAGTTAAGCACCTACTGTCATGCTGCTGCTAC